CAGTTCTGAATCTATAATGCAAAGATCCATGACCTCTCTGGACCTCAGTTTCTCTTCTCTAAAATGACAGGATAGGACCAAGTGATCTCTAAGGGCCCCACCAGCTCTGAATCTATACTCCTGTTGCCTCTTCGGGCTCCAGTTTCCTCCTCTGCAATGAAAGGGTTCAACTAGGTGATCTTGGAGGTTCCTTCTCCAAAGTCTGCAATTCCGATTTGTTCCACACCCCCTCCCAAGTTTATTTATCTTCAAAATGAGGAGAACTTACCCTGAGTTTCCTGTAAGGAAATTACTGGCTAAACTGCCCAATGAAATGCTAATGGTTCTTGTCTTGGAGGGAGAAGCTGAAGGAGGGAGGTATCAGCCCCTGAAGTGGGCAGAGAGAGTACCTGGAGAGGTGCTTTGAACTTGGCGGTCGAGGAAGAGTTGATAAGCTAACTAATTCTCCAGGGACATTCCTGCCTGCCCTCAGCTCTTTTAAACTCCTAATCCTACTGATGCTTCAGGTTTCCAGTTTCATTGCTCTCTTTTTGTCAGAGGTCGAAGGGCTCTGGGTAGGTGCTTCCCAAGGGGTCCTCCGTCCGTAGAGCACAGAGCACCGCGTGCCTGGGACTGGCAAATATAGATGGTTGTTCGGAGCCGATCATGGCAGGTAGGAAAACATCCAGCCTTCGATGCCAAGGTCAGGTGTTAACTGCCCTGGGAGGGTGATCAGCTTTACCCATTCCCATCTCTCTGGTTGCTTCTCACTTCTGTAGTGCCTGTGAGATGTCAGCTGAAGCATCCCCCTCACTGAGGGTCTGTGACATTACAGCCAGCCCTGTGGGACAATTTATTGAGGGAGAAAAGGGAGGTCGCCAGCAAAGCTCTACTAACAAAGGGCACCTTTGTTCTACCCAGATTGACTCACTCTGGCTCTTCCTCAGCCAGGAAACTTAGCCAGCAATGGCCAATCTACCAGTTTATGTGCCCAATAAATAAGGAATTACTGTTTTACAGTTACTCCAATTTATCCTGGTCAATAGACATTTTGCACACAGAGCCTTGTCTGCTGAACTGGGGAAGGTGTGAAGTTTAGATTGGCAGAGACTGGTCCTCATTGACCCTACATTCCAAAAATCGTTCAAATCTTTCTTAAAGCCATTTCTATTTTTCAACATCTGCCGACACCTTGGGGTTGTGAATTCTATTATTTTTCATTCAGTTCAATAAGCATGTATTCAGTGCCTGCTACTGCCAATCACTGTGCTGGGTCCTGGGACCTGGAAGGCAGAATAGAAACATTCCCTGTCCTTGAGAATGTATATGCATACACACATATATGTGTATATAGTGTATGTATGTATATATGTATACATATGTGTCTTTCCTCATTTCTTACAAGCACAGACCTTCGATGAAGGTATCCATGGCATGCTTATCAAATACTCCAGTGCCTGGCACATGGCATTTAATAAATGCATGTTGACTCACCAGATGATAGTCAGGATCCAGGGGGATCCGAACAGATCAGATAGTTGGGCTTGATCTAATAAAAAAACCTGAACAGCAACAAATGTAAGTCTCAGACTTCAATGAGCAAATTCAGCACCACAGGTACAAGCTGGGGGAAGGTCGCAGTTTGTATGAAGGGCCTCGGGGGAGATCGGTGGACCCAGCAGTGGGATGGGGCAGCCTCAGCAGCCAATGGGAATAAACCTGACCTCCAGGGACAAGGAGGCGATTGGCCTCAGGCAGGCTGCCTCTGGAGGAAGGATTTTGGTGGGGAGTGTCTAGCAAGGCTGAGGCCCTCCAGTTCAGGTCCTATGAGGATCAGTTGAAAGATTAGTCTTGTGTAGCCTGAGTTAGAGGAGGGGGGAGGGGGCTCTGTCAGTGAAGAGAGTGAGGTCTCAAGCAGGGACCGGATGACCCCTTGCCAGATGGACTTGCACCCTTGGGACTTCTGCGGCATTCTCTGCCTCCTGGCTCTTTTGTCCTGAACAGCTTAGCACAGCAGGATTGCACAATCTTGCTTGTTTACCAACAAGGACATCAGGTTGCACAACATCTTATTTTTATTTTTTTGGAAGTCTTACCCAGCTCTGGAAACTTGAATTTGGACATCAGAGGCTTCTCCTAGCCTGGTGGATGAAATGGTCCGGAATCAATGAGGAAGGACCTTCCCCACATCCTCATTTGACAGATGAGGAAACTGAGGCTCAGAGAGAGTGAGGAAGAAACTTCCCCACTTATTACAAATTTTTGGTCCAGTCCTGTGAGTTCAATGGAGCTCCAGAACTTGGCTCCGGCCCATCCCCCCCCCCCACATACTTGCTTATTATGTGAGACTTGTGAAATGATTCCCCCAAGGCCTGTCACCTCAAAGGTGCCAATGGGAAGGGGAGGAGCCCCTGCAGGCTAACCTGTGGCTTTGGAATACATTTCCTTCCATTCAGCCATTGGGATTTGTCCTAAGAATTCACAACTCTTCCAACTCACTTCTGGAGTCATTTGTTGAAGACGGTGCAATCTCAGGCAGCAGCAACCACCAAGACTGTTTAGGCTACCAATCTCCCCTTCAACATATCTGACCATTGAGGGTCAGCTCGCCATGACGGGGAGCTCAACACTTCTGCATTATCTGGATTGTCTTCCACTCTTTCAGTCCCCCAAAAAGGAGGAAGCTTTCTGCTTTTCCTACGATGCTTAGCTGAGTAGATAAGAAAATCTGTAGTCAGAAAGGAGACAAAGCCCAGAATGAAACCAAAACCCTGCCCCTAACAACTGCACCTTCCCAAGTCCACCTCCACATATCAGCTGCTGTTCACAGGGTACAGGAGGTAGGGCAGGCAGTCAGCTCTGACCTTGGCATCACTGGCAGAGAAGATGGTCTAGACCAGGGTCCCGAGCTCATCTGTGCACATGGCCCCACTGAGTGGCTCCAGGGCCTGGAAAGTGGCAGGCTTATCCTCTGGATCTGCTGACCGTGTGACCTTCGATGTGTACTTTTCTAGGCTGATCTGAATGGAAGGAGTTGGGTGGCTGATTTCTGAGGGTGTGATGAATTACGGAGCTGCGCTCAGTGAAACAGTTATCCTCATAATACCTAATAAGCGTCCTGCAACAGCCTCCACCCAAGCTTCCCTGTGGCCCCAGGGGGCCCTGGGCTCTAGACGCCTCGGCCAGCAGAGGGCAGGCTCCTCTGTATCCTACCGGTTCATTTATAAAGCATACGCTATTAACACAAGGTGTTGTGCTGCGAGTGCTGAGCAGCAGAAAGTCCCTATTCACTTAAGCAGTTTATAATCTAATTTGGGGGTGGGGGGAGGAGGCATAGACACCTCTGAGACAAGGCAGAATGAGGGAAGAAGAGAGGAGAGGTGCAGGTGAAGGGCTGGGGAAGGTGAGAGCAAGACAGGGAAGAGTGAAAGGTCCAGGGCCCAGCTGGACAGGTGCCAGTCACAGATAGGCTCATCCCCCAAGGTGCCAAATGATTGCGAAGATCCAGCAGCTCTGGAATCTTTGGTCCTGGGGGGGGGGGGGCAATTGCAATTTTATGGAAAAAATCTGCCTTGTGGATTGCTTTCCCACAAGGGTATTCACATATGATCTCAGCATCTGAGGAAGAAGGTAGATGGGACAGCAATGATTATCATCTTCATTTGACAGATGAGGAAACTGAGGGCCAGAGACCGTAAGGAAGGAACTTCCCCACTTATTACAAACCCTGACAAGCACCTTCCCTTCAATTTCAGTCTTAAAGGTGTCTGAGGTGCCAAGGAATTAAGGGATTGCCCAAGAAAATACTTTGGATATTGGAAGGAGCTGGTCTTCCTTGCTGAGGCTGGCCAGGCCCCGTCTACGTTTCCGAGGGCTAATGATTCCAGCAACAAAATGAACAAGCCCCACTCAGGGCAGGGCGAGGTAGGGGAAGACCAACGGGGCAACCTGGGTTCATCCGGCTTGAGGTCGGATGAAGTTGATCTGTAGGCCAGTGGGAGGAAAGGAACAAGTGATGGAGTCAGGATACAAGGGTTAGAATGCCAGCTCTGCCCTTTCTAGGATCTCTGAGCGCTGTGTGACCTTGGGTAAGTCCCTTACCATCCCAGCCCTCAGTTTCCTCCTCCAAACAAGGATGGGGTTAGACTGCCTGACCTCTACGGCCCCTTCAACCTTTCTACCGCCCTTTGGTCCCTAAGGCCCCTACAAGGTACCATTGGCTGGCACAGTAGGGGTCAACCCCGAAGTCTGAGCTCCCAGCGACTTCGTGGACAGCTCCAGAGAGGGCTGCTCTGCCCGTGACCATCTCAGCCCCTACAAAATGACTCGAACCTAACGTGGGGAGCCTCGTGTGCCTCAGGAGAAGGGCTCTGACCCAGAGTCAGACACATCACACTGGTAGCTAGCCTGCAGCCACGCCTGAGCCCGAGGGTTGCTTTGTGAGAGTCGAGAGGTGGCCGGCTGGCCGGGGTGCCCCTCACGGGGTTGGGTGAGCCAGGCTCCCGGGAGAAGAGGCTGTTCCCACTCCATCCCCCAACTGCTCGGAGGCCAGTGTCCCCTAGGACCAGCAGAAGCCGGTTTGTGCCTGGGCATTCTCGCCTTTCCCAGATGGACTGAGCGGGCCGGTCGCTAAGCTGACCTGAAGGCAGCTAGGCAGGGCGCGCTGAGGGGCGCCAGGGCCTGGAGCCATCAGGAAAGTATTGAGAAGGGCAGCGTGAGAATGGGAAGAAAGCCTCAGGTCAAGCCAGATCTGGAGGGAGAGAAAAGGCGCCAGGCTTTTCTTCGGGCGAGTGAGAGGGTAGATGGACAGTCTGGTGGCTGGCCTGCGAGCGGACCCCTCCCTCTATTCCGGCAGCTGGGCTGGGCAGGGGCGGGGAGACTGGAAGGCGGGGTGGTGCCTCAAGCCAGTGTGAGCAAAGAGGGAGGGAGGGACTGAAAGTAACCGCCCGCTGCGCTCTCTCTCTCTCTCTCTCGCTCTCGCTCTCTCTCTCTCTCTCTCTCTCTCTCTCTCCTGGGGTCAGAAGACGCCGGCGCGGTGCATGGGGAGGCCACGCCGCCTGGACCTGCAGACGAATCCCTCACCAGTTTGGAAGAAGCCCCGAGCTACGAAGCCATGAGGGTGAACGAGAAGTACTCGTCGCTGCCTGCCGAGGCCGACAGGGGCGTGCACATTATCAACATCCGCGCCATCGACGACCTGGGCTACCTGCAGTCCGAGGGCACGGTGAGTGCGCGCTGCCCAGAGTGGGGGGCGACGGGAGCGAGGCGGGAGTGCACCTCTCAGCGGCCCGGCCAGGAGAGGTGAAGGTAGGGAGGGCGCCGTCCGAAGAGGGGCGAGCCGGGCCAAGGGAGCGCGCTGCGCACCGGGCTCTGGGCTCTGGGCTCTGGAGTCTGGGCTCTGGGCTCTGGGCT